TTGTAACGGCATCTGCCTATAGTTTTTAATTAGATAGTATAATTCGTATCCATAATTTCCTTTACGTCACTGACATATGTACCACAGCCCGCAGTCACGTGACATCAGCTTTTATATCGCAAACCATGTATTTGTAATTTCATAAGCTCATAGAAATTCGACGGGTTTCAACATTGTAACAACTAGAAGCTACCTTCGCCTAACGTTTACACAATAAACAAGCCTTGTGGAATTCGTGAGTTCCTTCACTTTAGTTTCACGGATCTCTCCTACCTCACGTAGCTGACGCCGCTACACAACTCCTTGAAAATTTGAAAAAAGACATTGAAAACTTCTTGACCAAGTGCTAGCGATCTCTGAAATTCCGTTTGGCTGAAGTCTATGTCAGATTTGCCTATAAAAATGACAAATGGGTTCCCTGTTCCAAATGATGTTCTAACTGTATTTGGTGATGGTACCTTCTGGCAGGTACTAGTCAACACCTAAACAAGGCTTGCACATGCATTTTTAAAAGCTTCATTGTTTGCACTGATCGATTGACATTTGTGAGATTAGCAAGATCATGACGTTCCTTGAAAATACAATTTTGGTCCTTGAAAAGTCTTTTGAATACTCTGCATGGGCCCTGCAAAATGCATTATTGGTCATTCTGTACAAGGGAGCTTAATACATGGTTTCAGAACTACTTAATACCAGCATCATACAATCAAGAACTTCACTGGTGGAAAAGAAAGAAGTTTAGAATAACATTTATAAATGCTAACATAGAGCTTGATAGCAACAATGCATTGTTGTCTAGGAGTCCACTATGCACAACTATAAANTGTGTGGTTGCAGTGGTTCTGATGTTTTGTTGTGTTGGTGTGGTTTATTGCTGTTGTATTGTTGTGTGGTTGCGGTGTATTGCTGGTGTTTTGTTATCTGGGCGTGATTTATTGTTAATGTTTTGTGTGGGTGTGGTTTATTGTTGATGTGTTGTTGTGAGGTTGCGGTGTATTGTTGATGTTTTGTTGGCTTGGCGTGATTTATTGTTAATATTTTGTGTGGGTCAGGGTGTGGTTTATTGGTGTTGTTTTGTTGTGTTGGTGTGGTTGATTGTTGATGTATTGTTGTGTAGTTGCGGTGTATTGTTGTTTTGTTGTCTGGGCGTGATTTATTGTTAATGTTTTGTGTTGGTGTGGTTGATTGTTGATGTTTTGTTGTGTGGGTGTGGTGTGGTTTGTTGTTGATGTTTTGTTGTGTGGTTGTGGTTTATTGCTGATGTTTTGTTGTCTAGGTGTGGTTTAATGTTGATGTTTTGTTGTCGGGTGTGGTTTTTATTGTTGTTTTGTTTTCTAGGTGTGGGATATTGTCCATTTCAATCGTTTACAAGTTCTTTATGGTCATCGTGGTTGTGTGTCATGTTTACAGTTTGATGATCGATTGCTGTAAGTATTTTCATTCATGGTATCACTGCAAACAAGCCTATGTTCTTCACATTTTATTCACTTATGCTTAATCTTTGAATTGAATTTATTGGGGGCACAATTTAAGAGGCGAAACTGAAAAAAATTCACCTTTTTTAAAAATGTATGCCAAAGAGTCATTTCTCAACTTTATTTGTATTAAATGCGAGGTTGTTGAAAAGAAGCAGAAGCAATATAGACCCCTTGCAGTTCATGGGAATGCGGCTCCAACTGGAGGACAAAATAATGGATTCTAGTTCCCAAGAGGTTAAAAATCTTTTGTTTTGTCCTCCAGATGAAGCTGCTTTGACGTCACATGCAAGGGGTCTATAGCATTTATCACACACACACAAGGAATGGCGAGCAGATTATTGCTTGACAAAAAAAGAACTGTAAGGCAACTTTTGATAAAATATTTGTTTGCGAATGTGCTTGTTAATGTTATCTTGACATTTATTGAAATCACACTTGCAGGGTCAGTGGCTCACACGACAAAACAATCCGTGTATGGGATACCTCTAGCTGGGAATGTATCCGAGTAATCCAAGCTCATCAAGGTATAGTCTTGATAGATCACAAAAGAATTAGTCATGATTTCTTCTCTTTCCCTCCAAGGCTGTATTGAAGATACAGTACAATAGTACTCAACAAACACTGATGTATGATTCTCTGCCAGGTACCGTCACATGTCTGGAGTTTGATGGCAAGCACATATTGAGTGGCTCTGTTGATAGGTAAATATTATTTAAATCTTGTGGGATCATTCTTATTTTGGCATAAGATTTTTAGCTTTGYGATTTAGYTGTTTCAAATACAGTKAAACGGTATCAAGGTTGAGGATATATGTMAAAATATACAGTAGGAMTGACTTTTGGAGGGATCATGGATAAAGAAAAATTAGCCAAAAAACCATAAAAATAATAACCATGATAGTAATATATTTAGCATTAAAGAAAGTCTTAATGCTTTGCAATCATTAAAAAAGTATCTTACTTACAAAAAATGGAAGTATTAATGAAAACTTAACAACAAAATGTATGATATTATAACCTAGAATATTGTCTACGCTATTGCTTAGAGTTCATATTCAAAGTCATGCTATCTGTAATGCATTCCTAATGACTGTCTATTTAATATTAGACTGCTAAAACTCTGGGATGCATGTACAGGACAAATGATTCGAGTTTTTAGTGGTCATGAAGAACCTGTGGCTTCTTTAAAGGTACGTCTATTCCTTTTTGCATCTAGTTTTACACATCATAAATACCATTATTGTATAGACT